AGCCCCAGGAGGAGACCAATCTTAAAATAAGTTGATCACGTAATAAATATTTCTCCTTAATCAAAGTTTCATAGTTAAGATTCGATCCGAGCGTAAAGAGGTTAGAAGTATACTTCTTGCTCGTATTTATTGTGAAAAAAATCTCCCGTTAGAGCCTTAAAAATTGGAAATAATACTACAAAGGAACTATTATAATCACCAATGAATGTTAACTCCGAACCGTGGAAAACTACATAATATAGTACACCCAAAACCATCAGGAATATCATGGTATAAAATAATATTTGGAACAGGGTGCAACTTTAGTTAATTACCAGTTGTCTTGCAGATCAGGGTGCACCTTTTGGTAAGTATGTCAACAAGCAAGCTAACCATACTGAACAACTTCCAGTGCTTTGATCAATTATAAGTTTTATCAACTGAATTGATAAATTAAATTGGCCTCATTGAGACTGTCGAAAGCTACTTTGACTTAAAGGTCAAACTTAGATCTCAAAGGGAACCTACAATACCTCCCTTTCCAAAAATGTAATCATTTATTTAAAGATGTAGGTAGTCACTGTTATTCATTAAGATGAAGAGCTACACAATTTTTTTTTGCAATATTAACTCTATCTTCAATCACACAATAGTCATGTTCTCATCACTTTTTCTTTGCCATTACATTTTGGCATTATCCTTAAACAACTGAGCCAATTTTGCAGTGAGCATGATGTTTCCTTTCACTTTCAACTTCCCCTTCATAAACAACTGTTGAGGGTTTGACTTTCCCGTCGCCATGGAGGAAAGGTCGTCATCTTCCACAGTTATACTACAGTCTGGCTTGCCTTGCTTGTAAGGACCCACTGTCACAGACCCAGATCCACTCTTAAGGTCCACAGTCCACTGACCAGCAGTCTTCCCCCCTTTTGTCACATTCCATTCAAAGACACCTTTGACCTTCTTGACAAGTTCTGGGTGGTCTGAGACTCGTTTGCTGATCTCATTAAACAGAGCTTCACTCTTAAGGCCTGATTTGCTTGGGTGGGACACCAATGCATTTATGTCCTGTAGAGATTGAAAAATATGTAGATCCTTAAAATGTAACTTCTCCCTACAATATCGATAACACTAACCAGAAAACAGGTATTGAGAATGCTCAAACTTATCAGGTTAATGTTGTTATCTTGATCTAAAAATTCTTACAACTGACTGACAAGGAAATGTGTAGCAGCTAGAGGGGAGAATCAACAATCAGATCTTGGGAGTTGAAGGGTTGAACTGACACTTGCCCATATAGTCCTCTCATAATTATGGCACACTAATTTTTTAGTCAGGTGACATGAATACCAAAATTAAACACTTCGATCATTTACTTGCTCACACTCACTCCACTAATTAAGTGTGATTCTATGCTGCTGGAAGTCTATCTTTATTGTCAAATTCTTCCTGGTCGATTTTCTCTCAAGCCACTCACAACCAAATTTCTTAGCATAAATATTCTTTAGGCACAGAAGTTCTAGACCGGAGCACGTTACTCACCGGCACTTTCTTTACAGCAACATCGACATCCTTCAAGTCAATATATGCCCCTGACAGCACCACATTACCATTTTCAACCAATTTGCACTGAAATGAAATCCTGTTGCCATCGCGCCACATGTCAGTCTGCAGTGTCTGACCAGGGAAAACAGGTTTAGAAAACCTTGCTTTGATGGCCTTGAATTTGCTAACATCATTGTTTGCATACTGCTTCAGCACATGACGAGCAGCGTGACCAAATGTACTAAGACCGTGAAGGATAGGGCGGGAAAAACCTGTGAACGTCACAAACAATTGATGAATTTTCAATATGCAATGTAAGAAATAGTAAATTTTGATGTTCAAGAGATCAAACCCAAACAATCCTTCAAGTCCAAGACCTTTGTAAATTCTACACAGGGAGGTTGAGCATTTGAATAAAAGTCTGAATCTTAGAATCCCAAGAATTTTGAGTGTTGTTAATTTTTGAAACTTAGCCTAACTGTTCCCTGCCCAGTGATACTGTTTGGGCAAGGACTGTCAGGGATAAAGCCATTTATCAGTGGTCTACCACTGCTTATAAGACCTCTTACTGCCATCTGTTTAGCCTGCAAGCAGGAACTTGTGTTTGGATTTCATCTTACGCCCCTTTTCCACACACTTCTTCTGCACCATTAGCAGCATCTTATGGAAAAAGTTATTGAAACCTTTAAGTTGCTCTCAGGGGCAATACATGTTGCTAGTGAGGAATTTTTCATTAGCTTGACAATTGATTTTTTTTTAAAGAACTACATATTCAATGTGGAAGAAACAGAAAATAAAGAAAATTCACTCCACCTCCTAACTGGGCAAAATCTGGATCAATATGTATTGGATTTAGATCACCACTCAACCGATAAATTGCTGCTACAGAAACGTCAGTCTTCTCCCTGACACTGGCATCAGGTGCACGGGTTGGCATTGTAACAAGAGGCTTGGAATACTCTGAGCGTTTTTTTCCTCCAAACCCCCCAGCACCACCAATATAGATGGAGAATTGATTGAAACACACTGCTTCACCACTGCTGTCATAACTAGTGATGTTCACCAGCACTATGGCTCCTTTCCCTTTGTCAAGGATGTCAGCAACCTCTCCTTTGCTTGTCAAGGTTCCTGAAGTAGGCAAGGGTTTATAAAGTTCCAGATACTGTTCCCCATGGAGGAGCTATAAGAGAACAAGGGTGATAAAATGAATTAAAGATTTAACTCTAGATTGAGTTTTTAGTGACAACATGTTAAAGCATGGGGATTAATGTTAACCCTTTAACTCCCATGAGTGACCAAGAGAGAATTTCTCCCTACAATATCCATACAGTTTCAAGCAGACAAGTGATAAGAATAAAGAGAAATATCAAATAGGGGATTATCAGTTGATCCAGTAACAAATTATCAGAACTAAAATCATAAGAATTGTACAGCAGTCAGTAAGGAGAATTACTAATAAGATCTTGGGAGTGAAAAGGTTAAAAATAGATGAGCCTAGAACTGAAGGGGGTTACAAAGTGGTGACAAGAAAGAGAGTTTATTACCAGGACAGGGCATGTCATTGGAAAGTCATAGATCATTTATTTTACTCAGTTTACCTTTGCTGGATTAAAAGGAAGTCCAGCTTGCTCCACTGCTCTCACAATAACAGTATTCATTGCTGACTGCCAAGGAAAAACAAAAAAATAAAATAAACTGTTTTCTTATAAAGATAATAAAATTCTTCTTAACCAAGCAGAAGGCATAGTAATGCAAAACCAGTGCAATCTTAGATTACTTTGCTCTCAAAAATTGAAAATTGCTCTTCAATGATTTGACACACCTGAGCTGGAATTACTCCAAAGGTAGGTAAGGTGCAAAAGTCATCACATCCCTCATAAAGAAACTTAAGGTGAGATGAGTCTTCCTGCACAGTGACCCCAACCCCAAGTGCATACAGGATCACATCCTTGGCTTCAAAAGTACACTGTGACTCTCGAATTTCCAGTGTTTTGCTTGAAGCTTTTCCACTTTCTGGTACTGTTGTGTTAGCTTCTTGGATTATTGGGATCAGATCAGTCATGGCATCACCCCTTAACTTTGGCTTCACAGGACCAGACCAGTCAGTGATCTTACACCAGTTGTCTCTCACCATCTCTGGTGTCACAGTAACACCACCTTTTCTTAGCATTGCCCCTGAACTCTCCTGCCACCTTAACTGTGCCCCCCAACCTGAAGCCATCTCAAAGACACCACCACTCTCTGGACAGCTCTCGTGGCAAAGATACACAACAAAAGGAGCAACATACTCTGGTTTAAGGGCGTCAAAGACATCAGGGGGCAGTAGTCCCTTAGTTAACCTTGATCCAGCAGTTGGAACAATAGTATTACAGACCACATTATACTTTTCTCCTTCAATGGCCAATGTGTTAGTTAGACCAATAAGACCCATTTTAGCTGCGCTGTAGTTCGCTTGACCAAAATTCCCTAACACACCAGAGGTTGAGGAAGTCATAATGATCTTACCATACTTCTGTTTTCGCATATGAGGCCAAGCTGCTCGGGTCACTTTGAACGATCCTCGGAGGTGAACACGGTGGACGAGATCCCAATCGACATCACTTATGCGACCGAACGATCGATCTCTAAGAATCCCAGCGTTGTTGATGAGGACATCAATCCGACCAAATGCATCTAATGCCGTTTGTATAACTTTTTCGCCGTCTTCCACGGAGTTGTAATCAGCTACCGCTTTTCCTCCACGAGAGCGGATCTCTTCAACAACCTTGTCGGCCGCTGCACTGCTTTTTCCTCCGCCCTTTGCGTCTCCACCAAGATCATTGACAACAACCGAGGCGCCTCTGGAAGCGAAGGCGAGTGCATACTCCTTCCCGAGCCCTCCTCCTGCCCCTGTTACAAGAACTACACGGCCATCGAATCTCAACTCGTCTGCCATTTTGAACCTTCAGAACAAAGATAGGACCTGATTGGAACACAAATTTGGCAGGGGGGTACAGAGAGCTAGTGACATACCCTAAAATTTTTTTTTACCCAAAAATTGATCAATTAAGAGAAAAAAAAACACTTGTCTCGTACATTGTGCTTAGTTATTTTCTGCTCACCTTTCTTGAGCGAAAAACGGAGAGGAAGTTCCATCCTATATGGACAAGTCATTCCCTGACCTCCCCACCCTTACAAGTCTTCTGTATTTCGTGAAGCCTGACATGACATGACCTCCAGCAACACCCCTAAAATGACACCTCATAATAAAAATAAGGATGGGATGACAGAGGTGAAAGAAATTCCAATTATACATTTAGATTAACAGTACCCTGCTTTTTACTTGGCGCTTCTTAGGAAGTTTAAAAATTAGTATTTAATCCATGAAATGCCGTCTTCTATGATATATTGGCCTAAATATCCCAAAATGAGTGACAGCCATGTCCGTGAGAACTTACCCCTCCCTACTACGTATATAATTCTGTCTGTTGTGTTCCCCTTGGATGACCTTCTAGTTGTACGGCCATCTTGAGATCGAACAACCTGTCACCTCAAAAATAAGACATTGCACAAAGTCACGATAATCCAGAGAGGGGAGTCTGTTCCAATCGTGCAGAACGGAATTATTTTACATCAGAGTGCATCAAGATCTCGTTTAAATGTCAGAGTTCTCGATGAAACCTGTTTCGCACAGCGAAAACAAAGATGAGGTCGTAGGACACTTTCCTCCAGGACCATTGGATAGTTATCGAGAGCACGCTTCCTTCGACTGGTTTCAGATGAAAGTGTTTTTAGATGGGGGAGAAGATGTAGTCAGATTCCAGCACAATATGTGGAAAACTATGGAGAAAGACTCGTTATTTGACCGTGTCAACGATTGGAAATTGAGTATGGACGAACGCAGGCGTGTAACAATGAAACGATGTAAGAGAATTGCGGAGTACAATTTTTTGACAGAAGATGATATTATGGCAGCACCACTCTTGGTTCAGGCATTTGGTGACGCCTTAGGAATATACGACTGGAGTTTATCAACAAAATTCACTTTAAACACTACGGTAAGACGTGCTTTCTGAAAGTACATGTCCTGCACAAACATTTTCATAAAGGGTATATATATTACATAAGAGTTCTTCCCCCACAAACTTCACAACATTTGCTTTAGTTAAGAATGTCAACCGCATCTCCCTGTAATTAAACTAGCACATTACATCTTTCCACCTCCCTACAAAGAATTTCAATGTAATGAAACAACGTTTATTTTCTCAATGCAGATGTTTGCTCGTCAAGTTAGAACATCAAGCACACACGAACACATCCAAGAGCTTGCAGATAAAGCTATGAGGTTTGAAGTATGTAAAAAAATCTTTCTAAGCATTTTGAATTAAATAACTGTAAGTCAGAGAAGGTTGGCATGACATAGGATGTTATTGCTCTCACATTTTTTTCATAATGTTATGCTGATTATATCTGATTCTTGAGTTGGTCTTTAAAATGACCTATGTTACTTCAGAATAACAATAACAATAATCGATGCAGTCATAATAGTGGAGCTTGCAGAGCGTAGCCCCATAATTATACAAAACAGTAGTAACCCCTCAAGCTGAAAAAAATTGGACATACGACTGTACGACCATACAAGGTGCTACCTTTAAAATGTGTGGTCAACTGTACTGCAAGCACACCAATGCCACGGCTTTGTTCAGTAGTCCAGTGGTCAGTGTACTGGGCTCCAAGTTGGACGACCAAGGTTCTAGTCTTGGCTGGGGCAAGGCGTTGTGCCCTTGAGATGTGCGAGAAAAAAAAGTACGAGTTTCCCCTTTTAGGCTTGGCTAAATCTATATATTATATATGGGTGCATAATTAACAAATTGATTTCATTTTGCTGTTTGTCTGTTCAGTAGTAGCTTACAGACAACATCAAAATGTGGTAAGAACAAAAAAAGTGCTACACGAGATGCAGCAAAGTGGAGTCTATTTGTTTCATTTTATAAGTTTTTTTTTTTTTTAGTGGTGATGTCATCTTTGCATCTATCCTCCAATAGGCGATAAGTAAGAACTGATCAAAATATGTGTATTATTCAACTTATCCTGTGGTATACATTGGTTAATACAGTGATAGTAACTGACTTTGTTTACATTCCTCCTGTGTTCACAGGTCTTCGGTTGTTTTGCTCTGACTGAGTTAACACATGGAAGCAATACTAAGGGTGTTCAAACCACAGCTACTTACGATCCATCATCACAGGTTAGCCTCCTCAGTAAACAAATATTATTCCTAAACTCAGTAGCAGGAGGTAAATGTCCTCAATACTGCACTACTTGTGCTTCCAACAAAGAATCCATTTCACAAATTTGTCTCTAGTTGTTACACTGTGACAAACCGATATCTATGTGGAAACCTGGCATCACATGTGGATTGAGTTTGTTGTTTACTTTGCTTCAGTCCTTTCTAAAGGATTTTCTCTGCATTCTCCAGTTTTCCTGACTCTGCAAAAACCACTAAAGTCTAACTTGACCAACAAATAGTAAATGATAATGCTAAATATCATGGAGTATTTTATATCTATCAAGGCTCCAAGCTCAACCCTTTACAAAGTCACCATTTGGTGACCTAAAAATATTAGTGGTCAACAGAGATAAAATTTCAGTCACCTATGAAAGACTTAACCTTTTGACCCCTGAAAGTGACTGGCATCCAATCCTTCCTCACAATATCACCCCCAAATCACACATTAAGAAGATGAGAATAAAGAAAATGATCATAAGAAGCTTAAGCTAAAGAACAAAACAGTGCAGAGAATATGCATGCAGATGTTGGGGTCGAAAGAGTTAAAAGGAGATTTTGTGCAGTTAGTAGTAATGTGATATTTTATGCAAATATTCACCTAAGTTTTCAACTGTATGCCACAAACACCAAATTATAAAAAAGTTGGAGCTCACAACATGACAGCCAAACACAATTTTGCAAAATTGGTGACTCTTGTGACAAATTTAGTCTCTCAAATGTTTTTCCTCCCTTTGGCAACCACAACAGTTGCAGCTTGGAGCACTTCTTTTTTAATATTTTCATATTAACTAAATGTAGTGCCATTCTTCTTTTTTCACATGTAGGAGTTTGTGGTCCATACACCCAACTATGAAGCTACAAAGTGTTGGGTGGGCAACCTGGGTAGAACTGCAACCCATGCCATAGTCTATGCACAGCTTTACACCCCTGATGGAGTCTGCCACGGACTCCACTCCTTTGTCATTCAAGTACGAAACACCACAGATCTCTTACCCATGCCTGGGGTGACTGTAGGAGATCTTGGAGAGAAACTGGGTCAAAATGGACTAGATAATGGGTAAGTTAACCCTTAACTCTCACAAGTGATTAACATATAACTTATCTCCCTATTATCCATACAATATCCAGCAAACGGTCATGACATTTTTCAAACTTATTTGGTAGAAAGTGTTATCTTGATCTAGTGCAAGATTCTTTAACTAATTAACGAAGAATTGTGTAGCAGCTCAAGGAAAGAAATAAAGGAAAGAAATAATAATCAGATATTGGGAGTTAAGGGGTTGACAAGATCAGACCTCAGTGACCTCCATGATGGTCATGCCGAAGTTGATAATTGCAGACTAGTAACCTGTACCATCAGGGCATGCCTTCTTGTTCAAGAGGAGAGGGTCAGCATCCTTGATGGCATTTTGAAAGGGTAGGCCAAATCAAGTGTCTTATGAAGGAAGAGGTAGGGAGGGGGGGAGCCAGATCAGGTGCAAGACCAAAAATATCCAGGAGTTGGAATCTCTGTTCATTACTTGAATCGACCAATGTCAGAATAACTGATGTTAACATGCTTGTTTGATTTTAGGTTTGTGTCTTTTAACCATGTTCGTATTCCACGGGAACACTTGCTGAACAGAACAGCTGATGTGACACCTGCAGGGAAGTATGTTACACCATTTAAAGACCCAAACAAAAGATTTGGTGCTGCACTGGGTGCTTTGTCTGGTGGGCGAGTTGGGATAACAAGTATGGCAGTGATCAACTTGCGGCTGTGTATGTCTATTGCTATTAGGTAGAAGTATGCAGTTATCTGTCTAGTAATGCTTAGATCAACTAGATGTCAAAAAAATCAAAGGTCTGAGCATCATTTTAAAAGATATAATATGATGATGTTGAGTTGTTCTTACTAGGCATCTCCAGCCAGTACTTACTTAGAATGTTGCGAATTAATTTAGCCTGAAATATAATATACATGAAGCTCATTTTTCAGGGTTGGGGTTGGCCCTTAAATAATTATGCCTGTACTTGTGGTATGTGATACAAAACCAAGGCAGATGTAGTGATTCACAGTTTGGTGAAGCTTATATCCTTCCAATTCTACCGCAGGTACTCTGCTGTTAGAAAACAGTTTGGTCCACCTGGAAAGGATGAAATTCCTGTGTTAGAATATCAAATGCAGGTTAGAGAAAGGAAAGTGTATTTTTTGTTGGAAGATCACTTACTAAAAGTTTAAGTACTGTCTGATAGCTGACTAAACTTTGTGCAAAAATTTACAAAGTTCAGTTTTGTGATTATGCAGAATGCAATTTGTAAAAAATAGTTTGCAGATTATCAATACAATCATGCTGTTCAGAAATTCTAGCATACCTGATACCATTTATCTACCCCTTTTTTTTCATCCCCCCCCCACTCCTTCACTCCTCAACCAAGGTAGAGTTTTGTTTCCAAACATATAAGTAAAGAGTATTTCAACAGAAGTGTTTGAACTTTCTCACTGGAAAAGACATACACATGCTGTAGTATTACTACCAAATGTCTCCTCCCAGGATACAATTTTTGGTATTACTGGTAGATACATTTCATAAAACACAAAAATCCTCTTCCGCTAAATGAAGTCTAACTTTTACTTCTTCCTAGCAATGGAGACTGATTCCCAAGTTAGCAGCAACATATGCTTTAGCTTATTTTGCAAGGACCTTCTTTATGAATTTTGTTGAGCTACAAGTTGGTATGATGATGGGAGAATCAGGTGAAATACAAGTAAGTTAATATGAATTAAATTAGCTAATAAACACCAAATGATTTGAAAAGAGAGGCCAAAAAAAATCGATCAACAGTCTTAAAAGTAAATTAATTCCTTATCAAAACCAAAATTGCAACTACTACAATCCTTTCTTGATATATCCTTTGACAAACTCACAATCCAAAGAACTGTACATGAAAATACATAAGAGAGTAAGTTTCAAAAGAAACTGTGGTGTTGCATTGGAGTTTATTTCATTGATTTTGTCAACTGAGTTGATAATGCAAATTGGCCACTATATTGAGTTTCTTAAGTAGAGGTTTTGAGCATTAGCCTGCTGCATTAAATTACTGTTTAATCTTTTGCAACCCAAAACATAATTTTAATTCTCAATATTAATTTCTGAGGCAAAATTTGCTAATAACGTTGTATAAACCTTAAATTACAATTTCTATGAGCATATCACATGAAATGGTTTAAATAGGTTTGGGTAAATACTCCACAGAATTGTGAATAACATTCTCTTAGCTTATCACCTAATATAATTTTGACATATATGTTTCAGGCTGCTTTAGGACGTGAGATCCATGCCTTGTCATCTGCTAGCAAACCTCTGGCCAGTTGGATTGCACAAAGTACTATTCAGGAATGTCGTGAGGCCTGTGGTGGCCATGGTTACCTTGCAAGTGAGTTATCTAAGCGACATGATTTCCATCTAAATATGATATCTAAGGCTGTCACTAAGTTTTGAAGCTGCTGTTGTATTGGGCATACTTTCCCTGGTGGTGTAATATGTACCCAAATGTTACGTGACAGCGTTAACATCTCCACCTGTAACATTCTGTTAGCTAAGTGTTAATGGATGTTACAGGTTAAGGCCCTCACTCACAGCCCTAATATCAAGCTGACTCCCTAACACACACAAGCAGTAGGGCCAGTGGTTAGAGCGATGAACTTGTAATTCATTGGTCTCAGGGTTCAAGCCCTTTACCCCGCTTACCTTACTGGATTTGTTCTCTGTTACCTAAGTTCAACTTTCTGGCTGCACCTTGCATGTGGCCAACTGGTCTGCCTCCAGCCAGTTGGGATTTTTAAACTGTACGTAATCTATATAATTTGTACATTGTTGACATACAATTTGTTTGTATTGGCCCTAAATAACCCCATTGGGGGAGTGGTCAATTAAATGTTATAATTACCATAATTATAGGGAAGGCATCTCTGATAAGGTTAGGCTTTGCCCATAACTCTAGGTTGTACAAGCTGGACAATTTTAAATGCTACGAAATCTTGGATAGTTTGGGTCATTCATGCACAGAGAGGTTTGACTAGCCATGTCTTTACAATTCTAAAAACAAGAATGACATTGCTATACTCCTGAGAGAAAAGTTTGCCATTTGGTGCACTACTTGTGAATTAGTTGCTTTTGCATATCAGTTATTTTCTTTCAGTCAACAGGTTAGGTGAATTAAGAAATGATAATGACCCCAACTGCACTTATGAAGGAGATAATAACATGCTTCTGTGGCAGACAAGTAGTTATCTCTTATCTCAGCTGGATGCTAAACAGAAAGGTAAACTGCAGTGAAATATTATTTTCTTGAGTTATATCTCAACCTTTGAACTCCTATGAGTGACCGAGAAAGAATTGTGTAAGAATGTGATAAGGATGTAAAACTGAAAAAGATTAAATTTGGAACACAGGTGAAACAAAACCTCACAATACACATTGCTTTTATCCACAGGTTCCCATATTTCCAGTCCCCTTCACACAGCTGACTTCATAAATGACATTGAACAAATCATGACACATCAATTCCATGCAAGCACAGAGCAAGAATGTAGAAACCCTGATTGTAAGTAATGGTCTTAGTAATATTAGATTCTGTTATGCATGGATTTTGGGAGAGAGCGGTTAATGACATGTAGTGTAGAATAACCCCTTTGGTAGATTGAGTGACTTAATAATGTTCTTAACCTTTTCACTGCTAAGAGTGTCCAGCATCTAATTTCTCCTTACAATATCACTCCTGAATCACACATTAAGGTCACGAGAATAAAGGAAATGATCACCAACTAAAGAAGCTGTTGATCATTTAACAAATTCTCTTGTTCAGCACCTTGGGTAATGTATATAGAACAGTATGGAGAATATGCATACTGATGTGATGGTGTAAAGGGTTGAAAAGTGATCATGATTTGTGTACAGGTAGACTTTGTTTATTTATCACTGGTCACCAAGAAAAAATGCCAGTCTCCCCTGAAGTAAACTACTAATTCAGCATTTTTTTTTCCCTTGGCTAACGACCTTCTGGAAGCCACCTCCTTAGTAAAATACTCCTGTGTATTTTCCAAGAGGAGATTTGTTGATCACATTATTCAAATGATTTATTCCTGATCAGTTCTTGTTGGAGCATACCAATGGCTTGTTTGTTACCTACTAAAAGAGAGTGCCCAGAAGTTTAAGCAAGAGCTTACAAGTGGAAAGGTACCTCAATTGATGATTATGAGCGATTTTGCTGTTCCATTCACAAGGTCTTTTTGCTTTTGTTCTGCTTGTGTGTTTGCTTCTTTTTTTTCAGCAAGGATAAGACTCAAACTTATTCATTTGCAATAATTTTCAATTAAGCCTTATAAGCTCGTCAGAAACATGAAGTTAACAATCTCTTTGTCTTTGTTTCATCAAAGGACTCCTTTGCAGCTAAGAATGACAGCCAAGTATTTTACTGTAGGTCATTGGCACTTGCTTTCATTGAGGTAAGGTTTGTCTTCTGTCACATTTTACTATTTGTTAAACTTTTAAACTCTAACATCGATATATATATTCTCCATACTGTTCTCTATACATTTCCTAAGGTGCTGACACAGAGAATTTCTTCAAAAATCAAAAGCTCCATTAGTTGGTGATCATTTCCTTCATTCTCATGACTGATGTGTGATTCAATGGTGATATTGTAAGGAGAAATTAGACACCAGTCACTCTTAGGGGTTTAAGGGTTAAGTAACTTATTATTCATTGTCAGCTTATACAATTTTAAAAGTTTTTAAATTGGTGGATGGGAATCTCAAGCAGTTGAGTTCTTATATTATAAGGTTATTTTGGATAATTGTGAACAGTATCCCTCTGGTATGAAAACCTTGGATTATGGTGCCTCTTATGGTGTTCGCCACAAACACTGTTATCCTTTTTGGTAACAATGGCTAGCCAGCTAATTACTTTTTATTTCAGTGTACAATTTTGAAGAGATTCAAGGAAGCAATTTTCAATGAGGATGAAATTCCACAAGCTCTTAAACCAGTTCTTCTCAGACTTTGTTCACTATATGGCTTGTCCTCTCTAGAGACACATCTCACTACTCTATACCAAGGTGAGGCTACCATTAAGAAAGCTAGGCTGCTGACTTTTTGTGCAAAGTTGTGTATTGTATAGCAATACTGCACTTAAGAGAACTTTTCTTCAGGATGTTGAAACTCTATTGAAAAGGGCTCTGAAGTGGAAATAAGGTATTCTTTGTTTATTTACTGTAGGTGGCTTTTGTTGCTCAGTGAATGATGCCAGAATTGTGAGAGCAGCCATACTTACTCTTTGTTGTGAGGTAAGCTATTTGCTTTTGTTAGGCCTCCCTGAAACGTTCTGCAAACATTTTCCACATTATTCATTATATGTATGTCATGCTTAAATGGGGGTATCCTTAAAGCACAATGAGGCAAGGGAGAGTCTTGTAAAGGAATTGAGACTCTCTCTCCCTCTCCATATTAGTATCTAAGATTTTTTCAAACTTGAGTCAAAAGGGTTTTCAAGCCTTGATTCAAGTCCAGAACTACTCATGATCCAGTGAACAAGGTTTGATATATGCAGTGAGATGTTAGATGCTTCCATTTGCTAGGAAAAATGGTGAGAACTGTTTTCCATCCCTTTACAGAGAAGTGACTGTTGTTGTAGGAGACTTGGTTCCACTGCTTATAACCAGCATTAACTTCATTGTACACCGTGCATGTATCATAGTGTAAGTGGAATGAAACAAATGGTGCAATAGGATTTTGGGATAATTCAGGTATTTTTGTGTTTGTACTCAGTTGAAGAACGAAGCTGTAGCCCTGGTGGATGCCTTAGCCCCACCGGATTTTATTCTTAACTCACCCATTGGTCACAGTAATGGAAAGGTAGGTCATTTTGATCTTGTCTAATTTTTATTTATTTACTTAAATACCACTCTTAGCAAAAGTGAGATGGTTGTGAAATTTAGTTGGAACTTTGGCCCACAAAAAGCGTCAGACCGTCTGGTCCGAGTTATTTTTACACCATTTGAAACTAATGATTCACTCTCTCTTCCCCAGGCTCATGAAAACTTGCATGCTGCGATTATGCAAAAACCAGAGAACAAGGAACGAATTACATGGTGGAAGGAGTGTCGTCAACTTCCCATTATCAGAGATCGTAGCAAGTTATGATTGAAAACGCCGCCGGAAACATTTCTCACGGATGGTCTCTCCTCTTGATAAGAGAAAGTCAATGTCTAGTTAACGTGTTTTGTAGGAAGGAGTTTCAAGTTGAGGATTTTTTAGGTGGTTTTATGCTTGCAGTTAATCACTTCGATGGGGTGACTTAAGGAGCCTCCTCATATAACGCCCTGATTTCCTTCCAGTTAAACGTGACGTTCACGTCGTTTTCACTCCTCAAAATTTAAAGCGAGGAAAAGAAAGTTTCAGAGAAACTTATCAGAGATTAAATTGAAAGTGACTTAACTACTAAAATGCTCCTTCGGGTTGATACATTTGTATGTTATTCAATAGGTTATCAAAATGTTGAGTCGCCCTGTGTAAAAAACGATTCAACTGGTGCTGAAAACACTGCAAAAATGTTTCATGGTATGCTATCGTAGGGTATGTTTTAACTTTTTTTTCTTAAACCTCCGAAAAGTTCGTTCCAAGATTACTGTGGCCGCTTGACTTTCTAACGAGGTTTGTGAGCTGGTTAATGCCCTTTAGAACTTTATCTTCGTGAACTTAGCATATGTAATCTTTTTTTGATACCCTCAAAACCCTTCAAATCTGATGATCTGATTTGTATTTCTCCTTTCTAGCTGCCATTCATTTTCTTGTTAATTATTTAAGAGAAAATGTCAGTTTTGCCAGTGGAAATGACATATTGATCACTTCTGCGATACAAAGGGTCCAATAGTAATTGCAAGCTAGTTAAAAGTTTTGCTGCGTTTGAGAATAATTTGGGTTGAAACCCTTTAAAGCCTCCGCTCATATCTGTTGAACGCCCTAAGTAAATTTACCAAATCGGAAGATTATTTATAAACTAGATTTGATAACGTTTTCCATATATAGTTATTTACGTACTTTACTGAACTTTTCACGGACAACAAGGGTACACAAGATTAAAGAAATGAGTCAAGAATCAAATCACTTCTTTCTGAGTATTGGACGTATTTATGACTGGATAAGAAAAAGGTAAAATACTTGCTTTGACATGCAATCATAAAAAAAGTCGAACAAACTTATTAACCCATTTTACCCTAACGTCAGTATGTACATTCTCCCTACTGCTCTTCCTACATTTCATAACGTGCTGACAAGGAGAGTTTATAAAACAATCAAGAGCTTTTTTAAATTGGTGATTATTTCCTTTACTCTCCTGACCTTAATGTGTAATTTAGGGGTGATATTGTAAGGAGAAATTAAACGCTAGTCATTCCAAGGGTCATGACAGATGACAACCTGTACTAGAAGCCTAAGGTGTGGTGTAGTGAAAGTGTACCTAGTGAGTAACGACCAGCCATGGGGGCTACGCCCTATACAAAGAGGGAAGGCTACACAGACTAACAAGCTTTCCAAAAGTTCGGACTTCAAATAGGGCTTTTGTAAGGGCATTATCCTTACTCTTCTTCACCCATGGAAGGCCTCGTTCATGGCAAATGAAAGGGCCGTTCCACTTGCAAACGAACTTCCCGAAGCGCAGGAAAACGCAAGTGACCAGGTTACGATTGGTTTAAAACGTTTAAACCCCAACATACCTTACCGTATACATGTCCCAAGTTGCTAACGAGGAGAATGTCTTTAGTAATCAATAGTTTCTCTAGTTGCTGATCATTTCCTTTGTTCTGGTGACCCTTGTAATTCAGGGGCGATAATTTAAGGAGAAATTAGTTGCCAGTCACTCTTAAGGGTCAAACGATTAAAAAGGATGGCGCGGCTAAAATGCAAAGTAAAGCTACACCAGTGACAAATATATCAATCATTAAGAATGCGTTAAATTCTGTATTTTATTGCTACGTCCTTGTTGGACAGTTATTTTCTCGCACAGCAGTACGCAAACATTGTTTTAATTATTAAATATTTATGATCAATAACATCAATCTAAGGAAGCATTAGGATAAGAGTAATATAAAAGAAGATGTACAATGAACTTCCTCAAACAGCTGTCACAATGAAAAGTTAACCCCAAGGATTGACGTGTAATTCGCCCTTTGACTTTGAATAAAACAATTACTGTTGATGAGAAGAATTCATACTTGGATCTTGAAATCTTACTGAAAATACTTTACGGCCTTTCGTATGACGTTATGGTCACATACAGTTCAACGTTAGAGTGAAGCATAGCGCCTGAAAACAAGATTTATAGGGAGTATTGACAATCACGAATGCTTTGTCGCTTCCACGAAGATGCACTGCAAAATCGGAGAAAGCTTTGTTCATGAAGGGTTTTCAAAAGTTTTATAGAAAAAACCTTACTAGCATTAACATTTGCTTACTTTAATAGAGCGAACGGCTTTCTTATAACCTAAACCACAATTGTTATCGAAAGTGTTTCTGCCCTACGTAAGGCAACATGCGAACTGGACACCTGTAAAAGTGCTTTCCAATACTCGCGCGTGTTTTATCATAAACAGGCTACACAACGTTTCTGTTAAATGATAACGATCTCAAGTGATTCCTAAAACGAGGACTCAAAGCTGTAGTGTCCTTTGTTCGCTGCTGGTCTCGACTCAAAGTAAGTAATCATTTAAAAAAACACACACGCCCACGAAGTTCAAATCTCTATATACAGCGGATCTATTTTTGCGGACGCAAGCGTAAATCTTGGTTTGAATATGATAGTTCAGTCTTCTTAAAAATGTTTATCACCATTTCGCATACAAACAAAGAAAAAACAGATTTTGGAGTGACAGATCATTATGGTATAATATAATATATGTTCCACAATTCTAGTCTAAAACGTAACACTATTTTCATTATCTAATCTACAGAAACAATTTGAGCAATGAGATATTGTAGATTGTTTGTATTAAAAATGTGTCCACTTTCTTGAAGTAAGAATTTTTGCCATAAAATTGATCGTATGCAATAAAAATTTATAGACTTCTTTGATATTGATTTTTTTGTTATGAGTTATAAATCAGCAGAATATTTGCAGTCGATAGTCGCTTTGATAAACAAGCAGTCTTCTTTGACGTAACTCGTAGATTCCAAGCCTCGATGAGAAACGAATTGTGGGTAACCGAAGCCGAGTGTGGCACCATTCTTACCAGGTCTCTGAAAGCTCTTCCAGTTTGGATCCGGGCTAAACGATTGGCTAATATTTCTTTGGCCCCTGGTAGAGTCCCTGTTTTGATCCAAAAGCGACAAAGTGATTTCGCCCTCAAACGGCCACTTCAAGAGCGTGTCGTATTCTCCCGGGAGAAGACGGACATAGAGTGAAAGATGCGACCCTTCCCCGCTACCATTTCCGTACGGGAACACCACGATTTTGAACTTGTACCCATAAGGACTTGTGTAAAAAGGAGGGCTGTGCAACTCTACGTTTGTTTTGTGCTTGGCGTCCTCAAATTTGTTCCAAAAGTCGTCGATCCTCCAATAGAGTTTACTATCAGTGAAAGGCTTACAATGTTTGACAATTTCGCGCAATTGGTCAATTTCCTTTCTTTGATCAAGAGCAAGCTGTGAAACGAGCTCAAGATGTTTTTTCATGCCGTCTTCTAGATGCTGTGTGAGGCTTCGTTGTGGACACTGAAAGAAAAAAAATATATAAATTAGATATGTTTTTTTCCGTCTCTGTGAGGTTGGATTTCCCACCCGACACAAGACACACAATTGACAAAGGTATAAGAAGTTAGGTCGAGACAATCTGAGTGGATATCGAATGCGAATGAGTTCTTTAGTATCTCGAGAGATAAGTCAATACTTACTTGATGTTGACAGCCAACATGCTTAAAAGGACAATGAATGAGATTTGAGCGACATTCGTGGGTAAGATGGCGATCCACCTTAGATAAAACGGTGAACAATTGATTAGGATACTTCATAAAATTCACAGTGTTAAGAGACTTTTATTCAATAGTATAATTAGGAAAGCAACAGGTCAACAAGTACATCATTAACCCTTGTTAATATCAATTCCCCTCTCTGTCGATCTTCAAAATATTTCTTATACTTGTAGTTCGGATAATCTAGTGTTAAATAAAAAAAGTATCCCTTTTGATACATTTCTTTCTTCTCATCACTTCCCTGGTTGATAATGTATTGATATCGTAAGGAGACAGTACTTAATGATCACCTCTGAGCGTGAGAGGGCTAGCCATTGCAACTGATTATGTAGTGGAACTTCCATTTGAGGAACACTTAGAACTAGGACCCTGCACGGAGGGGTTCACAGATACAAAGGCTCTAGGAGCCTTTTTTCAGTTTGGGCCACATGTTGTGTCCCTTGAACCAAGGTGTCTCGAATTAGTGGGAAGTAAACAGCGTTGGGCTAAAACGTTAAGTTGTCTTCTCTCGGAATGGATATAATAGGAACTGAGTGGTTCCTACAGGTACATGGAGTGGTTAGTCCGCAGTTCTCACCTCTTCTCGTGGAATCTGTGACACACCACAACTATTTGGGCAACTCAAGGGGAAGTGAGGACACACTTGAAGATGGCTCTGTTGGGAAAGACACAAGATAACCTTGATGTATCATAAACAGATATTTCAACCAGCCAAACATAGATAAGTTGTTAGAAATATTTAGCAACTGGTGGTTAAAAAAAGGCCAAAACATTGCTAGGACGACATCCTCGTTTAATTATGATCGTATAACAACTTTCCCATCACAGAGGATCAATCGGTGTTCCGCGTAAAAATGAAACTATGGGAGGAAATCTAGAACATGGATGTCTTGCTGATTCTAGAAGCGTGTAGGACCCTTGTCACATGAGAATTAGATTTAGAGTTCTCTATAGCTCAGTGGTGGCGCATTAGACCACGAAATCCGAAAGACTGACGTTCGATTCCTCGAAGGGGTCTCAGAGATTAAAAGTCATAATTCACCGTCGTACAGCAACAAAGACAACGATAACCAAAGGAAAGTTGACATATTACTTTTGGCGAGATGATATAATGAATATGTGTATGAATAATATCAAATAGGGCTACCTACCTGCATGTCTTCGAACTTGACTTGCGCACGACAATACTGACATTTGGTCAATCTCCTCGGACACTCCTCGGACATGTGACTCGTGATTTGACCACGTGATATTCTCTGACCACAAGTGCATGTAAAAATGTCAGATTCTCTTTCGATGTCGATTTGGCTCGTTGTGCGAGACCTGCTTCGTTCTGACCCACGGTAGACCACCTCGCTTGGGATCTCCTCGCGACCGACGTAATTGAGGAAAGCTGGAAACGAGGCAGAGCGCATGGGTGCAGGGGGACTGGAATTCAGAGCTTCTTGCGAGGTGCTGTTGCTTCGATTACCGCTGCGCAAGCCACGTGGATCGAAGCGCACTGAGTGAGGCATGCTCTGTCGTTTGCCTCCTCTCGTTATTCCTGGTTCTTCAGTTTGGGAATCAGAGCGTCGACAACGTCTTAAGTGTTCCTGAAATGAAAATAAGTTGCTGTGTCAAAATAATCATGCTAAAATTTGCATACATGTTTAGATAACGGCACACGGCTTTTTACAATTTTTCTGGAAAAGAAAACGCAAGCTACTTGAAGCGCGGGAAAATACGAGTGACCAAGTTGCTATAGATCATAGTTTTGTACCTGATTGGTTGAGAGAAGAGTGCGGCTTTTTTTTTTTTTGGACAAATCACAGACGAGAAGTAATACCAACCTGTTTGTCTTTGAAGACGATTTCTACAGAGCAGTTTTCGCAGTAGACCCATCGGTGTAAGCAATCATTTCTCAAGTGATGCGGCATTTCGTGTCGTTTTAGTCGGACCCCACATCCATTACTGCATGTCACTATCTCCTGGTCCGGGTTCCGACGGGCGGCAGGACAGTTATGGCTCTAAGGGAATAAGTGGTTTTAATACATTTGCACCCAAGGTCTTAAGGTTGAGTGGAGAGGGGGGGAGATCCATGGTTAGAGAGGAGGGGCGCCAGGGTTGCCCAGGAGGCTCTAAGGAGGGATAACGGAAAGAGGT